GTTGTCGAGAACGGCGTTTTCCCAACAGCCGACTAATGAATTGAATAAACTACAGTTTATGGTGGTTTTGGGATTTCTTTTTTTTTCTGAATTTTCTACTTTTCTTCTTTCTGCGAAAAGTTTATTCTTGCACAAAGAAGGCGATGGTCTGATCCCGTGTAGAAGTTTTAGGACAACAGCGACATCGGTTAGGTAAAACCCTTCATTTGTTACAATGCTGTCTATTTCGTTATGGTACTCTCCATTGGGAGACTCCCACGTCCATCGTTGAGTGTAGAGCTTCTAGAATTACGAGTTACCATGAATGTTTTGATCGCCATGATAAACTCAGATAGCACCCTCACCCTGTTTGTTCCATTCTAATCCGTCGGTCCCAATGTGACGTTCTTTAGACGTTCTTCTTGGTCCTGTCTTAGCGTTGAAATCTCCAATGATGGCCTTGAAGAATGTGTGGTCTTCTCTGTAGAACTTCTCCAAGTCCATATTGAACGCTTCGACTTCTTCTTCGTCATAGTTTGTCGTCGCGTAAACAACGAAGGTTGTCAAAGCCGGTATTGATCCACATCTTTTTAATCGTAAACGACCGATTCGGGTTGTAAGCTGTTCGAATGAATCGATGTTCATGGACAAACTCATGTTGACGAGTACGCCGACGCCGCCGACTCTGCTGTCGCATGTTACGAGGAACAGTTCTTCTCCGGTGTTATAGACGGTGTTGAATGGGTGGCGTCGTCTCGTCTCGGCCAGGCCGATGACACCGTACCTTATTCTTCTCGCTTGCATGAGCAAGTCTTCTAGCGAGGACGATTTTTGGTGCGCGATTAATTCCCTATCCGCCACCTGGGGATGTGCCACGTTGCCTCGCAACTAACTGCTAAGATATGGTCTTCTATTAGGGAGATCTCTGGTTCTCATCGATGGTGACAATAGACTGTGGATGTGGAGGATTGATGCATATGCATTCTTTCTTGATAAGCTTGCACGAGGTTGATAAATATATTTATTTTCGGCTAACGTTTCGACGTTTTCGTCTTCCTCAGAGCCGATGGTCCGAGTCGATGGTCCATGATTGTTGTTCGTCTCGACGTTGCAGCTTCGCCTTCGTGTCGAGCCAGGTCTTCTTCAGTGATCCATCTTCTTATCAACCTCGTGCAAGCTTATCAAGAAAGAATGCATATTGATTAGTCACACCGAGGTTCAGGGAAAGTCAGTTTCGAAAGATTGATGCATAGGTCCGGGAGATTTTTTATGAATTATTTATCACTGATATTTTAGAGCCTGTTGTGAAGGACACTAGCTGATATGCTTTAGTCAAGGATTATCATGGGAAGTGCTAAGCGTTGACGCGGTGAAGAGATTCGTCGGTTTATGCCCTAACATAGCGTTCAAGTACACGATATTATTGGATTGGGAATACTCATTTTTCATGTTATTCTATGGAAGCCCTTGTTATGGCGGGAAAACAAACTTGGACCTTCCTACATGGACTTTGCTTTGCACAAGACTTATTGAGAAGAGGATCCATCTTGTTGGCAGCCATAGCAAAACAAAAAACTTAAACAAGTTATCCAGTGGAAAATGAATAGTGGACAGTTGGCAGCGCAACAGAATTGGAGCAATGTAACAGATTTAGATCGGAAAGATAAGAAGGACATTCATGTGCAGTTCACAGTTCATCACGCATCTCTTCTCTCCAATTCATGAAAACCGTAGGTGATTAAAAGCTACAATCAGACGAAGCTTTTCGTGGATACAATTGATCAAATGCGGCCTACTGTCCATTTGTTAGAAAGACCTGGGAGTATTACGTATATTTCTGTTTGTTCACGATTTATACACGTCTATTTTTACCCATTGGTCAGGCCCATACCGCAGTTTTTCCAACTAATTACTCAGATGTGCCTGGTGAACGGATGGAAGATATGAGTGTGGGCGGAATATTAACCCGGAAGACTTTAAAAGAGATGTCTTCTTGCGTTGTACTGGAGGCGAGGCTGCTTCTACAACGTCTACTTCGCGTTTTATTGACAAAAGCTGCGCTAAGGGTTTCGAAAAAATGGAGACGATGTGTGAGTTGTTAAAAGGCTATTACATAGCACCAGGATGGAAAACACGTCACTGTATGTGCCAGAAAGGTTAGCAAGAATTGTACGATGTTGTTTGTATTATATTATTGTTATTGTTATTAGCTGCTATCATTAAATTAAATGATGAAGTATGTACATATATATATATTGTATGAATGTATAATACGGATTATAAATTGTACATTGTAAAGTGAATGTAAAATAAAAACGTGGTAAGACTTGGTAATTCCTTCGAGATACAAACTGTATTGAATCCTACTGATGAATCCATGCCCAGTGAATAATCAGCCACTCTGAAAACGTCTTTGTGGTCTCACCATTTTATTACAGCGAATTGCTTTTCCTAATTATAGAATCGAAGTGTTTAAGTAGAGGGATTTTTAAGCCTCTTCACTGCTCGTACTGTTTCTGCTGCACACTATTCAGCAGCAGTAATCTCCCTCTGCAAAATAACCTCGTCCAAAGAGGTTTTTTTGTAAATTACTTAGTGTAGAGCTTTACCCACTCCTGATATTAGAACTTCGTTTGACAAGATATCGATGGGTTACTACAAGTGCGGTGAAAAACTTCTGTAAGCCATTGAACAGGCGTAATATTATGTGGTGTTATGCGATGGCCCATGTGTTAAACGTAGGGATACGATGTCGGCCGATATCTTCTGTCGACGACCGTTTTTGATTGACTGTGGCTTTTGATGATAGGCGGCTTTGATTTGCTCACGAAAGTGGTTGCGTCACGCCCTTGAACATCCTAATAATTTATTTTATCCTGTCACTCGAGCGTAATATACAGTAATGATTTTGTCGCAAAGCAATAAAAATCTGAGGACTACTCATACCAGCTTATCCTCTTTTCGCCGTCCACAATTGGCCCTTCTTTTGGCATAATGAGAGGATCAGAGCTGGTGTTAATTTTCGGCCGTTTCAATGTCTAGTGAGAGAGGATAATAAAAAGAAAGAATATGAACTTACCAATTACCGATTTGAAAAGAGTGCAACTCTATAGTGCCTATCTTAGTATTGAAGTTAAATTTGTGCATTGAAACATGAATAGTATGGAATGAAGCATAAGAACAGCAAACATTTTGCAAAATCTATTGTCACCTTTAAATCTGTTGGGGATCTTTCTGTTTTTGCGAAAGTAGGTCGCAATTCTTTCAGTATAGTTTTAGGTGACGCCGTTTAATTTAATCTTGATCTCAATCGTCTCCGGGTTCTGAGTGTTGGTGCGGGTTTGAGTGGTATTCATAGGCATTCGTGCACTTGCATCTCTATCATTATTTTTCTTTGCATTTCCGTATTAGAATCAAACTTAAAATGTCTGGAGATCCATGCGAATTACTGCACCATACATCAAGCATAAACTGTGCTTCATTCCTTTTCAGATTTCCTTTTCGGCATTGTTCGGTATTGCAGCTGTGCTTCTAATGGCGTTGTTAAGAAGGTGACAAGTTCAGTGAAAGGTTGCATAATCTTCGATATCTGACATCTCCGACTGTGGATTTAGAATTAGGTTGTGTGTTCTTTCTATTCTGACGATTTTTATCTTGTTCTTTGCCTAGCGACATGGTTATATACGACTGATAATGTTACTTGACGTGGTACTATTCCTTATATTTTGTTTGTTTTGTGATTCTTCCTAGGTTGTTTTATCCAGCATCTTATTTTCGGCAGTTTAATTTGGCCTCTTTAAAAAAGCCACATCTGTAAACTAATGTTTTATTCTTGACCAGCTCTTGAGTTCTTATTTGAAGCTTCACTCAACATTGGCTGATTTCCCGACGTTTGTCTTTTCTTTAGCGCTTGAAAAAGTCGAACATATTGACGTGCATTAACTCAGGCTTGCAGTTTCACGACCTCAGCGGGAAAAAATTGGATGAATAAATTTTTCGCATAGTAAACGACTTCTTTCAAACACTTACCGTTTTGCAAGTCTTCTAGTTGCTGATAGAGACCAGCCGCACAGAGTTCTACTTGGATAACAAATGTGCCTGTTTCAGGTCAAAAAATCAGTTGCTTTCGTATAGCTTTTTTATACGAACGCAGAGAAGTCTACCCGTTTTCCCAGCGCATTCTTCTCTACATGCTTTACAAGTGGTATATTGTACCAGAACCCCTGCAAGCAATCAACATCTCTGTTACACATAGAGGATACTACAAGTAATTACGAACTAGCCGACGAGATACGTGTTGGATCGTATATCAACCACTGTATCGACGATTTCTTTAGACTGGCTTTTATTAAGTATCGCTTTCTAGGTGCACTTACGCTTGTAAAACAGTGATTGGTACCGTAGCTCCACAGAAGTGGAGGCTATGTTGAAGTTTGCGTCATGGAATATGTTTGCTTCTTGTGCTAGGCCTATCACGTTTGATAATGCGAGCATTAAGACCGTGAAATATTAAAATTGCTGGTACTGATAAATACTCACAAATGTTTACCGCTTCACTGAGGGTGGTAGGTGTTTCTGGACATCGAGCTACAATACACGGAGGTTTTCATCCACCCAGCAGGATCTCCTAGGTTGAGAGTGAGTGCGACCCTTCCATGCGGAAGCTCAGCTCAGAGTAAAACAATGCCAGGAACCACCACCGTCGTGGTACCGAGTTAGTCCCATGGTGGCAAATCGCCCGATTCACAAAGGCGGAGGCTGCATGGGTGGCTACGACCTGAGGAAGGTTTCGACTAGATTGATCTCGGGACTACAGGGAACCACAATGGCTGAGGCAGCAAATCTCCCCCTTCGGTACCTCGTACATTGTGTACTACACCAGACAGTGAGACAACCGATGGCAGGCGATGAGATCTCGAGTTTCAAGGACGCCATTGGAACCGGAGGGAAACAGTACCCCATGACACGCTATAGAGACTGTTTACTGCTGTGTACGTATAACACCAGATTAGTCTGTTCAGACCTTCAGAAGCCGACCTTTACGGCCTTCTTAAGGCCGCCAACTGCGTCAAATTCTGTGATCGCCTAACAATAGACGAAAAACGGGAAGATCGACGTGCGTCAATTAGATGACGAAGCACTTATCATTCGTAGAGAGAAATTTCCATTATGAAATGGAGGCGTCGGCCTTCTCGTAAATGAAACAAAAACCTTTCCGCATTGATCAATCCGTGAGTGATGCGTCATGCATTGGACTTTATTAAACATCGTTTGGAAGTGATTGAATACATATTTGGCCTTTAAAATCATTTGAGGTGGCCTACCGATGTATTGAGCCAGCACTGCCATCCCCCCAGGCAAGTCTGGCACCAATTTGCCGATCCCGGGGGAATGGAAAGCTTGGTTGGCCAAGAACGCCGGGATCAATCCCACGTGTGTTTCAGGGTACCTCCGACCCCTGTGCCACACGCTCCCTTGATTGAATTTTTGGTGCACCCATTTTTCCCACTTATCTCCTCATACGGAATCCTCTCACCGCGTTTGGCCATTCGTTTCCTCTTTGGCCATTCTTCGTTCCAAACGTGTCCGTCAGAAGTGAGTATCATCAACTAAAAGTCATTATCATCAACTGTTACTAGCTTACACAATTGATGAGGACGGACTATACGTTCTATAACCGATTGGAGGAAGTAATTCACAGCGAGAAGTCTTTCTACAAATTTGTTGTTGGAGAATTCAGCACCAGACTAGAAAAGGCCAACGAAATTGGTGCAAGATAAGGATATTCGGGAAAGGAGTGTGAAGTGAGAATAGAAACCATTATGCAGGACTCCAATCTGCAGCACAGAGAGAAAATAGGCAATGGATGTGAGAGTTTTATGATGGCATAACTCATTCGGAGATTCTTGCAAACAGAAAATGATACCACTTTGACACCTCCGTAGTATTTAGGTTCTGCAGAGGATCTCATCAGCGCATTCTCCATGAGAAGATTTGATCCATCCATGAGCTAGAAAGGAACCCTGTTTTAAACTAAGAAGGACGAAACAAGTCTTCTATGACGAGGATATTTCCAGTGGAATCCTCTCCTCGTATAACTGACTGGCAGATAAATGAAGACCTAACCAACGATTACACGCCGCCTGTCAAAGGATTTATAACTGGTCCCGAACCCTTCTCAGTGCCTTAAACAAGCAATTCAAGCCGCATCTCCAATACCGTGATTTGCTCGAAAGGAGAAGTAAACAAGCTTGATCCTAGTGCAACACACCTAAAAACGGATGGTAATAAACGCCAGCTGTGGAAGATCTTTGCACTAAGGTTTACATTAGTAGGCAGAAAAATTTCCTGGAAGCAGTCCAAAAACGATCTACTCTGAAGTCACCGTGGGGACTTTGCTTCTGTAATGTTCCGCTATCCACCTTGATAAGCGAAAATGGGACTATCACTACGTCCCGATATGATATATTCTATAATAACGGATAACAGAAAAGTTCTATACAAATCTTTCCCGCTCCACAACTCCCGCCTTCGACCACCAAATCCCGGGTAGTGAAAAACCGTCCTGTATTCTTCCAAATTAAGTTCGCGTTGCGATGAAAAACACAAAGAGAGGCACAGCTCCAGGACCCGGTAATATCGCCGTCGATATTCTTAGAGCTGGTGGTCAGTAATTACATGTACCTTTCGCAACTCACATAGCATCTTACTTTCAGGAAGAGAAAATCCCAGATCAGCGGAGGACCTCGCGCACGGTTATCACACCCAGGAAGGGTTACCGACCGAAAGGAACTCCATAACTGCCCTTATGCTTGTTGGGTGTACTTTACAAGCTTTTCGTGAAGATTATCCTGTCGCGCATATCATTGACATCGGATGGGGCACAACCAATAGAGCAAGCAGGATTTCAACAGGGATTTTGCTGCATGGACCACATGCAAACTATGTGCGGAGTTATTGCAGCTTTTCTGGGATACCACCTGCTCTTAGTCCTAACCTTTGCCGAATATGAAAAAGCGTTGTGTCGAAACGAACCTGTTCCTACCAGCGTTCCTATATTAAAGAGTAGAACCATCCTGTATGTGCTAGTTGGCCAATGGATTAGGGAGTTGGTCGGATTTGTCTTTTGTCCGCCAACTGTACGTGAAATGCTCGACTTTGTATGAATTCGCCACGCGGGACTTTTTTCCGTAACTGCCGTGGACAACCTCGAGTTTGGGTTATAACAGTCTATAGCAATAACAACAGTGCAATAATAACATGCAATATGTGACGATGTGTGGTCAGCTGGATATATACAAGCGAGAATGAAATGAGAACAAGTTATGAAATTGAAGGAAGCTAGGCGGACACTAGAGCTGGAGCACTGAGGAACCGAGGGACTGGATGAAGACCGAACGAGCGCTGCGAACACTTGAAGACGAATGCCCATGGGCTGCCTGTATTCTGTAGTGGGTGGAGCTTTGCCAGAGGGAACTAAAGACAGTGCTGACCCAGGTCATGACACGGTACCTGCGGAGAAGTACATCAAGTGAGGCGGTATGCCAGAGGCTTTAATCGAAACTACATGTCGAAGCAGTATAAAAGCTTATACATTATGAATGGATAGATTTAAAATAGTTATAAGCAAATAATTAATATAGGACGCATGTGATATTGTAGAGAATAGGAACTATTTAAGGAATAGTTACTGTACTGTATACGAATCTATCTGACTGTTATCGGAGCTTTACCCCGAAAATACAGCTTCTCCATCGTCCTTTTACCATACGCATAGAAAAAGGGGTTCGACATGGCGACACAATATCGCTAAAACTGTGTAATGCCGCACTGCAGTGGATAATGACGCCACTCGATTGGGATGGGAATGCTATCTTATATATTTAAACTTTCTCTTATAGCTTCGTTTGGTCGATGACATCGTAATCTTTCCAAGGAATACCAAACGATGTCTTCTAAATTTAACCCGCGCTCACAATATCTAGCCGGAGTGCACAGCGCTGATCTTCGAAACCTGTCCTAACTTTGGGATCCTGAAGAAGCACATCGATGGTGAAATGCAGATGGGCTGGTCACTTAATAAGAAGAGCAGAAGACAGATTAACGAGAACAACAGTGGAGTGGACAACCAGAGAATGCAAGCGCCCTCTTGGAAGACCACCCATACAATGAGCAGACGTGTTCGCAGCTAAGGTCAACCATCTGCATTCGTAGATGGAATCTATTTTAGGAGTTCGAAATGGGCCTCGCGAACGTTATCATAGTCGAGGCTGATCGCCGACATAGACGACGGAAAAATAAAGGATGAAAATTATGCTGTGGCCAGCACAATAAGTGAAGACTGGCTATCCGTGTATCCAACTAAGATACTGATATCTTAATTATTCAAAAGACCGACTTTCTATAAACCTCTGCATAAATAATCGATATATATATATATATACAATATACGGTCTGTAACAGACAACATATACCAGCCTCGCATCAGCTCAACAAGAGCAGTTCGTGAGAACATCTATTAGATACTGATCAACATCGCAGGTAAGCTCTCCAACACTTCCATTCCGTTCGAAATTTCGTTGAATGAGAGTGGTGCCGCTTAAATTTTGGTACCAGTTACAGCTGAATCCAGCTGGTTTCTGCCAGAATAGCTATGTTGGCACTGGATTCCATCTAGGTTATGGTGTAATCATTCTGCCGCTGGTGATAATCTAGACACGGAATTAGCAGCTGCGTCACTTTTTGCTGTGCTCTACATGGTGCTTAACTAACAGTTCGTCGTGTAACATTTTTCTTCTGACGAATCTGAAGATGGATCATGTGGAATTGGTAGAGAATGAAATCAACTTTTATATAATGCTGAGATATTTGCAAAACTCCGGACCGCAGGTGTATGCGGTGGGGAACGAACGCGCGCTATTGTCCTTTCCGGGGAGTAGCGCACTTCACCACCACACAATCCGGTTCCTTCGTCTTGCCTGTCTCTCAGCCAGTTCTATTAATCCTTTGCCATCAGCAATCACCCGTCAACGGGATTGATCTGGGAAGCCCAAATCGGCATTGAACCCAGTTAAGCTGAGGCTTAGTTATAATCACAATCTTAACCCTTCTATTTTTTATTATTTTATTTTATTAGGATCAATAGAACTAGCTGAGAGACAGGCAAGACGAAGGACCCGGATGGTGTAGTGGTGAAGTGCGCTGCTCCCCGGTAAGGACAACAGCGCGTGTTCGTTCCCCACTGCATACACCTGTGGTCCGGAGTTTTGCAAATGTCTCAGCATTATATACGAGTTATATTTGGCAACATACCCTGCCATGAAAAAGAAAAAGGCAGTAAATAAAAGGTTAAGATTGAAATCAACTTTATTGACATGTTATTGTGTTCCTTGGCTCCTTTCTTGGTCTTGCCATTTTGCTGTGCATTTTTGCGCTACTATCCCAGTTTTGAGAAACTTTGGCAGTCTGGACAGAGTGAGTTGTCGTACATCGCTATCGGTACATTACTGTGAGTAATGGATGATGTTAAACTTTGAGATCCGATACAGTGCAGTCGCTGTGCATGGTTGCTGCAGATATGAAACCTAGAAATTGAAGAGCACCTTTTCACCACGAAAATGTGGTAGGCCATGGAGAACAAACTATTTTGAGAAAAGAAATAGAAATGGTGTTTCTGTTCTTGTTTTGTTCGTTTAGAATTCACTATCTTATCTAAGCTGAACTGAATTCAAATTTTTTAACAGCAAAAGCTAAAAGTTCTTTTTCTTTCTTTGGTATACGCCATTATTCGAAACTCGAGTGGAAATATGCGGTTAACGAACATCTAAACTGGCACTGAATTTAGATGGTTCGAGAAGAGCACTGAGCATGATTGCATCGGAAGAAATGTTACATCTTGTAGTAACTCCCAAGTCCGACTTTCTATTAACCTCGGCATTGAATGAATATATCTTTCTACTTCTGTTCAGCAAGCACGAGGTGCTATTTTATTTCTTTATTTACGCATAAGCTGACGTTTCGGCGGATTTCGCCTTCTTCAGAGCCTGGAAGGGTCAAGTTGACAGCAATCCACTCTGCCAAACACCTCCATAACTAAACAGAGAAAACTCCAAACCAAGATTTCAATCACATTTAGCATAGCTCTGCACACTCACCGCTTTCTATGAGTCTTCCGCTGAGTATATCGCGTGAAGACCGACCGCACAGAATTCACATGGAAGCGTAATGTGCCCCTCCCATCAGAATAACAGGTTTATATACTGTCCAATATCAGGCGTGATAACAAGGCATTCCTCCCTGCGGTTCATTTTCGGATTTCTGGAATTAATCCAGAACACCTCGAGAGTTTTGTGCGCTTCTGTTCTCGATTCTTGCGCGAGAATCATAACCCTTACTTCAAAATTTTCTCCGTTATGTTTCTGCGTGCTATCGTACCTAGTGGAGTACTTAGCTTACGTTTGCCGACTAGGCGTTCTTTTATACGTACGCAGAGTGGTCTACCCGTTTCGCCAACGCATTCGTCCCCGCACGCTTTACAAGAGATCAGATAGACTGTACCCGAACTCATGCAGTCACCGTCTCTACCATTGGGGCAATTTATGCAATTTTGCGTTGCACATAGACGGTCGTATAGGCGGTTACGAACTAGCTGGCGCCTTAGAATATTCGGTGGTATTCGATTATCGTTACCGAATTCTCTAGACTGGCCCTTCTCAAACAGCGTTTTATAGCTGCACTTACTTCATTTGAAATAAAGGGCAGTATAAACGGGACCTTGTTGTCGCTAGAGTTATCGTTGGGGTACCTGTGGTTTCCTCTTCACCTCTTCATCTGGAGCTACGGTTTCGTAGCCATTAAAAGGCTATTTGCCGCACCAAGTTCCGGGACTCCTCTCTCTGTTGTCTCCCTGTGGTAGCTGTTCGATACATGTTTCTCACAAGCGCCCTTTTCGTGTGAGAGGGATGAGAGGAGAGGTAATGAACTAGAATGTTTTTACTACTTGGCTTTCGATACCACTTCGTAATGTAGCCGTTTTCTGATAGGCTAATTTGCACGTTCAGAAATGGAAGCCAGTCTTCTTTTGGTTTCTCTCGGGTGAATTTAATATACTCTGACTGTGTGTTCAACAACTGGAAACATCTGTCGATTTCTTCTTGCGTTGAACATATGACCAAGCAGTCATCTATATATCTACAGTAGAGTAACGGACCGAGGTCGATTACTGGCGCTTCCACCTTAGACATGAATACAATGGTAAGGCTTGGAGCCAGTCGTTGTCCTATTGCCAGCCCTCTCATTCGTGCGTAATACCTCCCGGACCATCTGAAGGTTGAGCAGTTCAGGCACTCCTTTAAGAGTGTCATCAACTGCTGAATCGAGAAGCCGTACATGTTTATTGCTCCTTCGTGTTGTATAAGGAGCTCGTTTATGGCTTTNAATACCTCCCGGACCATCTGAAGGTTGAGCAGTTCAGGCACTCCTTTAAGAGTGTCATCAACTGCTGAATCGAGAAGCCGTACATGTTTATTGCTCCTTCGTGTTGTATAAGGAGCTCGTTTATGGCTTGCATAGCGGAGTCATTCGACACGTTCGTATAGAGGGCAGTGACGTCGAAGGCCTTCACCACGTACGCGCTGTTGGGTCGCGCGTTACGTAGATGATCCAGGAACATTTGGGTGTTCGTTAGATGAGCTGGAATGTACTTCAACAACTGAGTAAGTATTAGGGTTATTGACCACGTTACCGAAATAAAATAGCACCTCGTGCTTGCTGAACAGAAGTAGAAAGAAATGTTACAGTTCTCAAGTCATGATGCTTCAGTTTATCAACAAGCACTAAGTTGTAAAATTGCCAGGATAAGATCATTATTGATAGCGTGACGTTGAATTTCTCCTTCAAATTTCCACTGTCCATTTAGATCGAGACGCTCGTCCATAGTAGATGTCATTCAGGGATTTCAACAATCTGTATATAGCTGGTAGTAATCTAGGCAACGAGTATATTTTTAATGTGAATGTAATATATGAAAAGTCGTAAATATGAAAAAGGCAAAAGTGTTTTGAACGGTCTCTTAAGGAGGCGTCGCGGCTTTTTCACGCCAAAGAGATTTCTAACCTTTGCATTAATGATTTATCACGATCCATAGCAGGAAAACGAAGCGTCTCTTCCTTTTCTTCGTTAATATACAGCACTCTATCAATTGGTGTTATGACCACAGCGGTTCCGGACGCGAAGAATTCGTGCACCTACAATTACACTCCTCTGTTTTTGTAAAACGCCGGATTAAAGTGTTAGCCGCATACTCTGCTTTCATTCAAAGCTCTCTTCACTTCAGCCATTGTGAAATCACGTTCAGTCACTTTGAAACCGTCTATTTCTTGCGACAACTCCAGTACAGATTGACGAGTAACTCCTGGTAGGATTAAACCTAAATTATGATGAAACTTTCTTTGTTCTCCTTTCCATTTGAAGCAAATTCAGCGATGTGAGTCCCACTTGTTATAGGTAGTGTAAATGTAAATTTATTTAAAAGCTAAAGCATATATCATTCTTGAAATCACAAAGAAAGGATGTGCTTTTTAACAATTTGCTTTGATATACACCTGGTAAATTCGTTCGACATAGGGTGGCAATATGTTCTCTTTAAGAAAGTGTTATTATACCTCGCATAGAGGTCGCGCACTCTCTATAAAAAGTGTGAACGCTGAGTGGTCCTTCATTTTGTTTATGGACAGACCAGGCCTTGACACATACTTTAAGGCAGGAAGAATCGTGGAGTCGAAAAGGTTGGCACGAAGCAGGGTGTTTTTTTTTGTTCTCTTCACTACACCCGTGAAAGCTACCCAAGCCACTCACTTCGTTCTGTTTAACTCCGGAGATAAGTCGTTCATCACATTGATGTCCCAACCTGGACAGACGTAATTGGAGCATTCAGAGATATTCGCTCCTTTGAGCGTGAATGGGATATAAATAACTAACCCATTCCTCGTGAAAATTGTGTTTGTGAGATTTAGTGAAAGACCAATTTTTCTACATATATTATCACAATCAGCAAGGAATTGTTCTTCCTCGATAATATTTGATGCTACAAGAACAGTGTCATTAGCAAGCCGTGGAAGATGTATCCCATGACGTCCCACTGCAATGTTTGAATGGGCTTGGGAGGTAAACAACTTTGGCCAAAATACTAGCGCCTTGCGTATTTCTTCTTCTGACGTCTATATCAGTGTCGTCAGAGAGTGGTGATACTTTGCTTACGAAATTGTCGCACAGCTCACGAAAATTTTTCATGTACTAAGTAGGGATGTCTGTCAAAAGATCTCCTAAAATCGATGGAAGAGATAACGCGTTCTTTCGTACTCTTGCAATTCTTCAGTTAATCTTGCTATCGTGTGAATGAGGTTCATCGTACTGAATTGTTCTCGAAATTCTGCGTGCTTATTTGGCTGTCTTTCTTCAGTGTTCTGTCAATCCTGTTTAGAATGACTCGAGTGAAAAGTTTGTAGACGACAGGCAGCAAGCAGATCGGGTGATAGTTGCCGAATTCGTGCGGCTCACATTTGTTGAGCCATAATGTGGTGTTCACCAACATTTTGAAATCATTGTAAATCCCTATTTTGTCATCATGCGCCGTTAATTCATCAGATGGCTCAAATACTTATGCATCTCTCTAAAAGCACTCTACAAAGGTCGCTATTGCCACACTAGTTCAACAACTTATTATTCCACTGTGTGGCACAATGATCGGAGGCGCTTGCATTACCCACGTAGAATCTATCTTCGCGCCCATGGCCCACCAAACCTTGCATTCCTCAGGGGTTGACAAATTGGTACCAGATTTGTTTGGGAGGATAGCAGCACTGGCTCGATACATCGGTAGGCCACTGCGAGTCATTATAAAGGCCAGTTATGCATTCAATCACCTCCAAACGACGCTTAGTGAAGTCGAATGCATGACGCATCACTCAGGGATTGATCAACGGCGAGAGCTTTATCCTTTATCCTTTCATTAGTCCGATTGGAAAGTTCGTACATATGCCGTTCTGCACAGTGAGGCAACATCCAAAGCTTACAAGTATTAGCTATTCATATTTCCACCAAATGAATACGTTGATGCCGGCGCATTGATGAAAAAGCAAAAACTTTTATTCTCAAGGTATTTAAGTGGATTTACTAACTAGAAAATCGTAGTCGGTCTTGTTAACCCATTCCTGATGTCAAAATATAGCCCAAAGATGGCTGTCGACAAAACTTCTGTCTCGATCATTTTGCGAGGTATTAATTTGTTCTCATTTTAAATCTTATTCCAACTCTTCCCAACGAAATATAGGGCTTCCAAGTAGCCCATTTCTACATCTCGATTTCTACATGAAGAATGTCACAAAGCAGACAATGTCTGCTGTCATTTTATATTTTGGTTTCAGGCATTAAAATTGATTATGATTCCTGTTCAGAGTGGTTGTGTTACTGGCGATTTTGGTGTTCTACGTCACGTGCTTGGTTGTCGTTTTGAAGAATACGTTTGCACTGGCAAAGCAGGGTAGTCGAAATTGGTCAAAATTTTTGAGGCAGAACAATAACGAATACAAATCCTCTAAATCTGCACCCAATGTCAACTTTTAAAAACCATTCGAATTGCAGCATCCTTCAGTTCGGTGAGAATCACAAAATATGTGAAACTCAAGATATGCTTACAGATTGTTTGAAATGAGAGCTTTCAAGGAATTTAGCGACTAATTTTAAATGCTTGATAATCTCTTCCTTCTAATCTACGACGTGAAGCGAAGAGCGTTTGTTATTAGCAAGACTGCTAAACTTCTAATGTCCATATGTCACCCCATATCTCCCAGATACTCACCACTCTCCAGCGTGGGCGTGATTAACTCTTCTTCTCCTTCTTCATTCTTCCAATACAAAAAAGTATTCATTGCGCCAGCCTCGGTCACCTGAAAATTCAACTGCGCTTTAGCAAAAATAGAACTATACTTAGTATGGTGGATCTTTAAGGAGCAATCGAGCTGCATAATTAAAGCTCATAAAATAAAATTGCCTTTCCTCTAAATCGCACTCAATTATAAGTTTACGGAGAGTATGCAAGAGACTCAATTGTGTGAGTAATCTTGGTCATGGTCACTACCTGTAGGCAGCGCAATCACAACCCGTACCTTAAAAGGATAAAACGTTGAATGCTGGACGTTTTTCCACTCTAACCTCCCAAGTTTTCTTCTTTAGGACCATGTTTATGATAAGCGCTCACTCCTTACCACACGCGGTAATTTAGCTTTACCAGAAAAAGTATGTAGAAGTGCAAGAAACAACAGTCGCATACATAGTGTTCGGGTCCGGACAGCCACAGCACCTGATGGCAGCCTCTCTCGATGGCTTTTTCGCAGACGTATACTGTTGGTGCGTAGTTGGATCCCATCTTGAAGCCACCGACGCCTCCCTTGATTGCCCGAATGTACTCCGGATTGGCGAGAAGAGCAATCGGCTGAACAGTTGAAGCAAATCAATTCGAATATCTTTCAGGACAAGATGCTGATTAGAAGTGATTGATAGTGAATGAGGGTCATTTCTTCGCACAATAATGCAACGAAAGATGTTGATTTGCCGACATTTAATGGTAATTTCTCGATCACACACGCATTACATTACACTGGCTACATTGTATTAAGCGTTTAGGTAATTTTTGTAAAATATCCTTTAAATAGTGGATTTGCTTAGAACCAATAGGCCCAAAAAGTTTGGATGCGGAATTGTTTTCTTCTAGTTTTTTAGGTGAAGAACTTTTCAAACTTTCAGCGTTGGCGCGACAACAGCAAGAACCAGCGAAATTTCATTTGGAGAAGACCACTATGTGCTGCGTTTGAAATTCTCTTTGTTTCATTGCTTTTATGTGGGAGCTCTTTTGTAAAAAAGGCGAATCGTTTAGCGGTTCTGGAGAATCAAAACTTTATCCTAGTAGAATAAGAAAAATTGTCTCTTGTTCCTAAAGATTTGCAGATGCTAATAATTTCTATTTCGACCAATAAAGCTAGTGGTGAACTGAGATGTGCTTGGTCTAAATTCAAGGATTAGTACAGTTTCTGGAGACAAATGCATTGAAATCAACTCATGTTTGGAGTTACCTATTCATTCATTATCTACGTTGCGATAACTTCAGTCTTTCAATATTACAAATTAAAATAAATGCAGAAGAATATCAAGTAGAACATTCAAAAAGCAATTAACTAGCGGATTGAGACAGGGTGACGCTGGCTGATAGGAATATTAATATACTGGCTTACCAGCAAAGTTATTAGAAATCATCCCTCCAGGGATTAGCGATGGGCCGACGGATATAGGGCGGAAAGATAGTAGGTATTTTAACTTTGAAAAAGACTGGGTGGAGATTTTTGCTAGTTATGAACGAGCATTAGGAAAGGATTAGTTGAACGCGTGGTGGAAACTAGTGGAACCCAAGCTGATAGTGTGTAGACTGTCCTGGAAGAATCTATGAAAAAAAACTACTCAAGTGAGACATCAACATGTTGGTTGTTTGCTTTTCAATTTGTTTTATAGATAATAGTATACACGTACTATTTTGTTTCACATAATACCCTGCTGTGAAAAAGTAATGGTCAGTAGACAAAAGTTATGCATTGTAAGTATACACGTTTTTAGATACTGTACAAAATCAAATGTGCGACTAACATTTTAAATTAGGTAATGAATGTTTATAGTCCGATAGAGTAGTAAAGAGTCTCACAGAATATGTGGTAAAGTAGGGCCCCACTGGCGATGTGATCACAAACAGCTTGGCACGTCTGCTAGAACTGAGACCAAGTCGAGGGTCCGTTCCAATGAGCGTCGGTCGAATGTAGAGTGATGCGCCTTTTTCACGGGGCACCCATGATTGGTCCAGACGAACCTGAAATGTGTCGTTTTTCGTTGATTCAAGAATTATTTATGAAAATGGATAGCTACCTTTTGTTAAAAAAGGTTAGTAGTGTCCGTGAAGGTAACTCTAGAATGTGATAGAAAACCAGACCTCAGAACTCAACTAAACAGGATGGCAATCTTATAACCCGTCTGCGCCACCCGAGAGTAGTTTCTGTGTTTTCGAACGATTTGATCCGCTCGAGTTGAATCAACGGAATATTCTCACAAGTTAGGTGTCTCGTTTTTTACATCAATTTCACTATTCAGATACAAATCCTTAAGCGATGGTTTCGTTAAACGCAGAGGTTACCGACCAATTCCTTGATGCACTCAAGGAGCTCATCGCCATCGAAGTCTGGTAGAGCAGCTCGCACAGCCGTTTTTCGCATGCGAAGCATGTTGAGTTCGGGACGAAAGAGTCTAATGCGATCGTCGACACCGCGGTAGGCTTTCATACCTTCAAACAACTCAGGTGCATAGTGGAATACCTGGAATTAGAGGGCGTTACTTCATTGCTGTACTGTTTTTCGATAACTCATCACAAGAGCGTCACCAAATGAAGCTGTATTAAACTGGAACATTAACAGTGTTTCGTCAGTATCATTCACATTTCAGTCGATTGAATGATTTATTAGGTTGCAATGCAATCGACTTTAGAGCGATCTTTTCCATAGGCATTTACTTTTAAGTCTTAAGCTCCAGCAATAAGCTAATCATTGTCCCAGGTCTGGGCACCAATCTGTGGGTGTTCCGATTTGAGTTCGGCATACTTACTTTTCTTTACATTACGAACTTTTTTTCTTAAAATTCATGACTGTTTGTTGAACACTAAAATCTATACGAGATCTTCACTTCTGTTTAGATTTGCTTGGAATCATTAGCTTTTTCGACGCGAAGTGCTGCGACCGTAAAGACCAACGACACGTTGGGAAGCACAATTCTATCATTGTAGAAAACCCAGCTTGTTCAATAAAGAACTTGTAGCTTTGAGAATTAAGTCGAAATATGGCGAGGTGTTTTGATTCGAAGTTGAGGGTGGCTGTAATTTTTGAGTTAAATGAATGGAAGTCAATGCTTGTAGTGGGTTATAAACTAAGGAGAAATCTCCGTTAGGAAGCCAGCAGCCACTGTCGTGAAGGAAAGAAAAGAATAACGAGGTTTACAGGCTTTCTGGACCATATCTATCAATGCTGACGGTATTCGATTATTTACACTAATATATCCATTGGTGTCCTACATTTTGATCATTGAGCAAGAAAACTGCCTGGCAAAAAATTGATTAACTCTTGGACTGTTTCACGATTTCTTAATATCTCTCCATATTTTGGTAATGCCGGCGTGGAGGAGACGGCCCACACCCTCAAACGGCATCGACTGCTTATGCGCTAGTTACAACTCCTGGACTCTGGTAAAATTCCAATCCTTATCAGCCGGAGTGATTAATTCGATTCAACCACAATGATACTGAAATATTTGCAAAGGTCCGAACAGCAGGTGTCCACGGTGGACAGCGAACGCATTATTACTGTTTCCGGAGGTTAACGCGTTCACCACCACACCACTACGAATTTTGGTAATATCTCAACATCATTGTGCTTGTATCATACATAATACTCTTCTGCGAGAAGTTTTAGCAGGCAGTAAATAAAAAGTCAGAATTTTGGTTAATTCGATAGTTTTATGTGACAAATATTTAAATTCCTTTTCCACTGATTCACCAAAAGTATTCAAGCAGTAGTGATCAGGTAACACTAAACTGCATATTTAAGGATATTGGTGTATGTATGTGATGTCGCATAAACGTGACCTGTTTATATCACTGAAGTCTTTCATATTCAAACCCTTCTATCCAAATTGAGGAAGAAAGTCTCACCTTGCAGGAAGGATCGAGCGAAAGGTTTTCGTACGGATGAATACATGGCTTGCCCCAGCCCTTGTCAACGCTCCAGTCTACATCAAGCATGTGGTCAGAGAACATTTCGCCAAAACGGAGCGTATCACCCTGACGAGAAAATCCGACGTGATCATAAATTTTATCGGCCTTAACAGCTTTCAATAAATAAATGTTTTGCACTATTATCTGAGGTAGGACGTGTGTAGCGCAGTGGTTGGAGGCGCCATTGCGACACACACGTGGAATCGATCCCGGCGCCCATGGCCCACCAGGCCTTCCATTCCTCCGTGGTCGGTAAATTGGTGTCAGATTTGTCTATGAGGGTAGCAGCACTGGTTCGATACATCGGTAGGCCACCGCGAGTCACTATAAGGACCAGATATGCATTCAATTACCTCCAAACGATGCTCAATGATGTCGAATGCATGGCGCATCCCTCAGGGACTGATCAGCGCTAAGAGCTTCTTTTAAATCATCCGATATCAATCTTAGTTGATTGATGCATGGCAACGCCTCTTCGCTACTATGGAACCAAGCATGCTGTGTAGAAGAAAAGAGTGTTACCGATTTAAAGGATTCTGGAAGCTTTCATATATGTCCTGTTAACATAAGTCCAACTACACAAAGGAACGGAATAAGATAAAATGAGAAAAAAAATGTAAGGTCTAAAGGAAAGACGTGAGAAAAGAAAACAAAGAGTTGTAAATTTGGTTTCGTAGGTCATTCTTTGTTAACTTAATAATAAGTTACGCTTTTGTGGCCACTGGATGTAGGAATACGTGTGGTTTTGAGAGAATACCTCCTTCGGAATTCGTTTTCGTTCTTTCTTCGATTTTGCTTCAATGATGGTGAGCTCTTTATGGTAGAACGTAGCCACCTTTCTGTTGGCATTTCGTCTAAAAAGATAGTGGTTTAGCGTTCTTTACAGCATTCGAAACAAGTAGTTGTTGTGATTGTCTGCTAGTGGTGTTGAAGAAGCTTGTCATTGAGAAACATGATGCCGAAGAGGATTTTTGTTTCTAAAAATCACTCATGCAAGGTAAAAATGATTTAGACATTGGAAATTCGCTAGACACAGGCGAAGCACTGGAGCTGGAACCTTAGCAATAAGAATTCTAGAGCTGTTCTCGACCACCACTAAAACTGCCTATAATGGATTAGTGAAGTAAATGCATTTTGTTGGAGTCGCTTCACACTTCCAATAAATAATTTTTTTTGGGATATTTCCGTTCTCAAACCATGACCGATCGAAACTTTTCTCGAGCAACACTTCTCCTAGACGTTAACTACGTAAGGTCCTAGGTAAGTGTCCTCGAACTTAGTCTGTGACGTCGTTGAAATCGACTTAGATTGAGAACTTTTTCATGGGTACTAAAAAAACACATTCAGTTGTTCCTTGAAGCGCATTGCTGATCATTAAGACACTCCCATGATCAAAAGAAGCCGAGCAATCTGTAACAGAATCAACCAAAATGAAATGAAGATGACATAGTTGCTTCATCAGCAATACGAAACTTGGCGATAAAAGCTGAATTTAGAAAATCACATGCGAGAGTAAATGCGATGCACACTTACGGATTTCCGCTTGTTCAAAACTCACGTCAAATATCGTCCAAATGTGAGCGTTAGAAGGCTCCGTTGCAGTGGCCATGCTGCATGAAGCATTGTGAGTAAACGTGAAGTTAATTAGCGGCGTAGTTAATTCCTTTTACGGGCTATCTAACCCGGAGCGCTCTAATCTCCTAAATTGCATGATTTTTTACGGGAAGAGAGTGCATTGATGGCTAGAACAACAACAATTCCAACCAACGCTTCCCAATGAAGCCAATTTAAAAGTGAAGAATCAGATTTACTCTTTCTCAATCGTTTCACTCTATCATTATGTTAACAATGATAGAATGCGTTTATCACATGCACAATAACAGCGCCACAAGGCTTCGTTGTTTAGCTAGTCATGATAAGTGATGTAGGTTGAGCGGTATGTTCGGACTGAAAAGCTCAGGGTAGAATTTTAGACTAAATGATGATGTAATTCGACGCAATGTATTATACACCGTTGGTCATGTTTTCTGTATTGACACACAAGGCCCGAAACTGATTTTTCAATGGCTAACGATAATCTCCAGATTAACTGAAGAGCTCAATATTTTACAAATTAGTAGAATGCACTTTCTTGTACTTCACCAATCACATGTTTAATCTTTCTAAAATGCCTTGCAGATTTCAATATGTTTAGAAATAAAACTTTCGAAAAATTGGCAGCGGAATTTACGTTTTTAGGATTTCCAACGCAGATGAAGCGGCTGAAAACATCGACGATACACTGGGAACACCCTCATGCACTGCTGAATCTATTCAATCACTAGCGTCCTTTAAAGCCTTGAATCAACGATTCGAAAGAGATATATGTCATGAGCTTATGGTAGGCATATGTTTCTCTTCGAACAGAAAGGTCAACTATCTTGAAGGGAAAACCTGAAGAATCTGTCGACTTCTTTTCCAGCTAGTGAAATCTAATATGACCTGTGATATGCATGCTGAGAAAGTGGCCATAATTTTCGCATTAAACGTATTGTGTGCAATGCATCTCGACAGTTACGTCAGTATTATCCTTGGCTAAGGAGTCGACTGATTTGCTTAACGACGAAAATTAAGGTGGTGCTGATCATTCTTCCATGAATGGCAATAAATCGTACCTGGACTGGCGGAAAATTGAGTGAGATGTGGTATGTGACATTAGTCGCATAATTCTAACACTGAACTTAGCGTCTTCAGTAATTGTGAAGGTAGTAGAACAGATAGAATTTTTCGCCTTCCCGTATCTCTCTTTCGTGAAAGGATTTTGTTTCGTAAAATGTCGCATGCACAAATATCCGCTCTAATAATCACAATTTAACGTATTATTTACTGCCTATTCCTTTTAACGGTAGGATATACATTGTGAAATATAACTCCAATGATGCTGAGATATTTGCAAAACTCCGGATCGCAGGTGTATGCGGTGGGGAACGAACACGCGCTGTTGTCCTTACCGGGGAGCAGCACACTTCACCACCACACCATCCGGGTCCTTCGTTTTGCCTGTATCTCAGCTAGTTCTATCGATCTTTTGCCATCAGCAATCACCCATCAACGGGATTGATCTCCAAATTGGCAACGAACCCAGTTAAGCTGAGGCCGCAGTTATAATCACAATTTAACGTATTATTTACTGCCTATTCTTTTTAACGGCAGGGTATACATTGTGCCCCCAGATAAATACCGTTGGCGGGTGATTGCTGATGGCAAAAGATCGATAGAACTAGCTGAGATACAGGCAAAACGAAGGACCCGGATGGTGTGGCGGTGAAGTGCGCTGCTCCCCGGTAAGGACAACAGCGCGTGTTCGTTCACCACCGCATACGCCTGCGATCCAGAGTTTTGCAAATATCTCAGCATCACTGAAGTTATATCCGCTCTTATGTCAGCAATAATCATATGCGAGTACGTGCGCCAAAGCAAGGCAACGTAGATAATCCATTTCATCTACTTCAACAACTCTTGAATTCCACTTGCGTCTGCTACGCCGTTCTCCTCACTTGTTCAATCACTAGAACACACCTTCGATTAAATCATAACTACAAATACTGAATCTTTCACAACAGTCCGTGCTGTATGGTATTGCTATTTGCCTGATGTATATCAGAAGATTTCAGAACATATGAAGAATTCACCTGCAACGCTTGAAATTCTAGATATGGTTAAAGTGATTACCCATGCTACAAGGACTATAGCGCTGGAAGGACTATCTATTCGAAACTGCTTAAAGCGGCGATCCTTCATTTGATCAGTGTCTTGTCCGAAAGTGCCGATCGTTGTTCGCTCAACTTTTGTGCAACTCATTTTGACACCCAACACCGACTTTCTTCTTATAGAGAACATTCTTCACGAATATTGGAATGTTCTCTATGTAGAACAATTATAACCTTATGCCTTCTACAACACCTGTCTATTCGTAATCGTCATATATCTATTCTTGCACATTCGATAAACCATCTCTTAACAACCGTTTCATGCAATTGCCTCGCAGGTGGCTGGAAAGGGAATCAGCAGCAGTCAACTGAATGCACTTTTCAGCATCTGTCGTTCCAAAAAAGTCTCCGAACAGACACCTGCACCCTTCCACATGCAACCCCTCTCCAGACGCCGCCTTTAGTTTCCTCTGGCAAAGCTTCACCCACTACAGATGTAATGCAGGCAGCCCATAGGACTGGTCCTGAAATCTTAGCCGCGTTCGACCGGTCTGCTTCCGGTCCCTCAATTCCTCAGCGCTCCAACACCAGTGTCCGCGTTAATTCCTTCAAGTGTACCACTTGTTACCATCTCAATTCCGCCTTTATCCACCCAGCTTACATATCGCCAAATATCACACATTATTGTATTACCGTTGCATTAATCATACAGTTGTACCGTTATGCCAGTCTCTTCACTCATAAGCAGCCCGAATATCAGTGACCAGGCTGCATCTATTCATTACCCGTATCATCGTTGCATTAATTACACAGTTGTACTGTTATCCCGATCTCTTCAGTCATAAGCAGCCTGAACACCAGTGATCAGGCTACGCCTACTCATAACCCGTATCATTGTTGCAGTATCTGTAGAGTTGTATTGCTATGATTGTTGTATAATTATGATAAACGGTTTAATTACCCAAGCTTGAGGTTTCCGATATTGTGACTGCTACTTACAAGAAGTCCCGCGAGGCGTACACAAAGGCGATCAACAAATTCCGACCGAATCGTCTTAACTACTTGGTATTCCTATATCAACGAGCCGTCCCAACACTTCTAACCTCGGCATTGATTGAGAATTCGATGTTTTTCTTCAATAAGCAGGCACGAGGTTGTCATAATAGAATTTATTAGGATACACTAGCTGACGTTTCGGTGGTTTCGCCTTCTTCAGAGCCATTTATTTGTTGTATTTAAGTTAGTTGATGGATAGCTCATATTCATACCAGTATGCTTTGTCTTCAAATGTCCAGATATTCTTAATAATTTGCCGATCATGTGTAATAATGTGGGGATTACTCGAAAGATTTA